ACTGCTTGTTGAATTTATGGTAAACTGTCACAGAGATCTTAATCTGGTGTTCTGCAGGGAAGAAATTAAGTAAAAACAACAAAAAAGGATTATAATATGGACACAAAAATTGAAATGCATATTGGATCCAACTCCTTTTTAAACAAACACATACATTAATTATAACTCTGTTATTCCACTTTGAAGAACAAGGTGTAGAGACCATAAAGGTTATTTCTGTTTCATTCTATGATCTCTTTTATTTTGAAAATCTAAATGTTTTGGTGCCTCCACCGTTGCACACATGTTGGGCTAAAAAAAAATTATTTTTTATTTTTCAATATGATACTGTCTTTAGTTTAGTATTGAAATAGTCATGTCATTTTCTTATTGGATTACTGGTGTGAGCATTTACCCCACAAACATAGCACTAGGCTGTTAAAGTAATGCTTGGATGGCATTTAGTCTGAAAGCTCAAGGCTTGCATCTGTGGAAAATCCTATTTTCTTCAAGGATTTGGATTGGTGCCACAAAAATAAACACTGATGTGCACAAGTTTCACATAACACTTATTTAAAAAAGCCAACAGGTATATATTTTTATGTTCAGAGGTAAGGAACAAATGCCATTGATTGTGAATGCATATTTACAGCACATGTAGGTCAAATGTAAATTGGTGTACATGCACTAGCTGTTCTGAGCTTGAATTTTCTTTAAGGTCATGTGTGCAGAACACAGTTTTGCACATGCAACCTTGAGGAAATTAGCAACAGGCTTCGTCTAAAGACAAATGTTTTATTTTTCTGCTGTTTCTAAACAGTTCTCAGCTAAAGGCAGACAGGAGTCACATACTAATGAAAAGTCACGTTTTTTGTATTTGTAGCAGTAACAAAACATTTTTTTCAATTTATTTTTTACCCGCATCACCCCAATTATCACAGCCTCAGCCATCACCTAATCTAGCTCCAGCGCCTTATAGCTCACGTGCCTGAGCGGCAGCAGCATATTACTCTGATGAATCCCATGCTTCAGAGGACAGATTCTCCACGCTTCCAGTCCAGAGCGGCAGCAGAGTGTGGGGGCGTCATCCAGCTTCTAAGGAAAAGGAAGATGCTGCTTCTTATCAGCCTGATGAGGCGGATTTAACAAGAAAAGAGAAAGTGATGGTAACGATGATGAGCAAGTGAAAGGGAATAAGACTAGTTTGAGCCACTCAAATATGAATACGAGAGGTATACAGCAATCAGTATGACTCAGTCTGATTAAATGATTAAAAGGATACTGTAAAAAAAACAAAAAAAAAACACTTTTTTTGTTTGGGATGTCTAACAAATTAGACACATTTCCTTGTAAAAATAACAAAATAATGCAGATTACACTGCAGAATATGGTAAAAATGAAAAAAAATACACATTATTATTTCATGGACAGGGTTCAGAATTTTAAGGTGAGTAACAAGGTTGTGAGCATTTAATATCTCATCTGCCATAAACACACTTCTGCACCAGTATACCTCTACTTACTGGTAGACTATACAGAGTATCAAATAAATGTAAATTGAAAGGAGAGAATTGCATGGTTTTAAAACCCCTTTGTAATAGCAAAGGTCGACAGTAACATTAACAGACAGCATCGAAAGGACCAAAAAACATCAAAGAGGAAATGTACAGTATAAGGCTGTGGAGAAGTTTTAAATAGGCTTCGGTGATAAAACAATGTCTCATACTTGGGAACTTTTAAGAGAGCTTTGCTCAGTCAATCTTTTGAATGCTCTAACTCCAAACTATACATCCAAAGAGTTTCCCTCTCCCAATACGTAAAGAAAACACTGACAGCTGTGATGATTTCAAAGTGTTGGTCAACAGCTCAAAAATCACATGGGGCTGAATAAACTGCATGGGATATTTTTGAGATTTTAAAGAGACGTAATATGGGTTTTTACAGAAAAATATATCTTTTACATAGCCTTTTTATTTGACCTTTCACAATTAAAACTTTGTTTGACGAGCAGACTGATACCCCAGTAGTTCACTGCCAATGCATCTATAAGGTTATATTCCCTGAATTTATTTCCGGTCAGAAGTTCCAAGTCTGTTTCTGTGGATGTGACCTTAAGAAAGTCCATGTTAAATTGGTCCAACCTAGCAAACTATGGAAGCATGATATTCAAGATGGATTTTGTGTAGAGGCCGGCATCCAGCTGAACTCTGACACTGGTGGCAACTAAGGAGAAAAAGTAAAAATTAAGACAACAGAAAAACATCTTAAGTAAGAGTGCATGCTAACAGGACAAGCAGAAGTGTACTGCAGTTCTGTGTTTTGGCCAAAAGTGGCAATATCATTAGAAAACTCTGTGATGCCTGTTTCATTTCTATAAAATGTGAAATTATAATGATAAGTTCCATTTAAAATGATACACTACTTTGAGTCGGTCTTACAGACAGACAGACCGATTTCATGGGACACATGTGCTTTTGCAAGGCACAATAGCTCACTCGTCATCATTGGAGTATTTTGTAAAAACAATGGGGGGGAAAAATGAGGGGAAACCAAAACAGACTTTTGACATCCTGTCTAAAAACAAAATCTGTGGTTTCTGAGAGAACAACTTCATGAACTTTTGAACTGTCTTTGTGTTTACACATATTATTTACATATACTGTAAAAAAGAGAGATGGAGCATCCACTTTATAGTTGGAATATCTGGCTATGAAATGAAGACTGCCTAAAAATCAAGTTAACATTTTTAAAAGAAAGTTACTTTAATGGTACAAACTGCACATATTCTGCCCCATGTAAGTGTAAGTTCTTGTACTAAGCCATAACACAAATTATATAATATGTTAATTTTTGAAATGTATTTTTATGTACTTTGTATAAAATTTGACATAAATCCCTTTCAATCTAAACTAAACCAGAATAAAGTTAGTGTTCCATATAGTTTAAGAATAAATAAATGATTTCTGTTTGTGATGTTCCTAAATAGTGATAACTTTTTTCAAAGATGGTTTTAAACACAGGTCTATTTTTTCAGTATCCCTGAAGTTTTGAGTACCTTGTACAAGCTTCAAACTGCTGTAATTTTGTCCCATTCCTGCCTACAGAAGATATATAACTAAGTCAGGTTTGTAGTACACACATCTTAACTTCTGTCAACAGTTTCTTTTATGGGATCATTTTGCATTACAAAGACCAATGATGTCAAAGGGGGGTGGAGTTTTGACAGGACTCAAATGCAAACAAAAAACTTAAGGTGGTGATTTGAATGTTTAATTAACCAAAAGTTCAACAAGCAAAAACTCAAAAACATAAATCCACAACAATCCTGAAAACCAAGAATACTCACAAGAAAAAGGGAAAAAAGTAATGAAGACAAATCAGCCAAGAGCGACTGAACAGGAGGCGGTTATGGGAGAGAGAAACAAAGACCAGACTAATTAGCAGATTGGGAGCAGGTGTGAACAGAAGCAAGAAGGGAGCTGGGGAAAAGCAGACTGACACAAGAGGGCAAACAGGAAATATCCAGGAACTCAAATATAATCAAAGTACGGAGCCCCTCTGATGACATGGTCAAAAAAAATGTTTAATTGTGGCCACGAAGTAGTATTTCGCGGCCACGCAATAAGTATAACGTGCACGCGAAATACTACTTCGTGGCCACGCAATAAGTTTAACGTGCGCACGAAATACTTATTAATATCAATAAATCCGCCCCTGTTTTCAGGCTTATGTTAACTGTAATGACTTATCTTGGACAGGCTGCTATGTAAACGGGCCTTTAGTCCTTCGTTTAGCATTGCTGCGGTTGTTTACACTACGCCTTTTCCACCTAAAATAGCGTCTTAGCAACGTGACTGGCGGAGACCGACTGGGTAAGCAAATCGAGCGCGCCTTAGACCTTAGAGAAGGCGCGCTCGATTTGCTTACCCAGTTGTCAAGGAATGATATTAATATTATTAATAAGTATTTCGTGCGCACGTTAAACTTATTGCGTGGCCACGAAATAGTATTTCGTGCGCATTTGCGTGGCCACGAAATACTAATTCGTGCGCACGAAATACTACTTCGTGGCCACAATTAAAAATTTTTTTTGACCATGTCATCAGAGGGGCTCCGTATCAAAGTACCTAGAACACAAGAATGAAAATAACAGCAATGAAAACTCAAAATAAAACTTGAACAAAACCAAAACCATGATAAATGCCGAACTCAATTTCTTCATGATGCCTTATATTTTTTGAGGTACATCATTCCCCCTTTCTTTTTTTAACCAAGACATCGCGGAAATGTAATACAGTCACCAAAATTTAATGCATGTTACAGCGGGAATGATTTTCAAATTCTTGCAGGCTTCCATTTTATCTTATCTTCTTTCTACGCCTGCTCTTCAGAAGGTCTGTCCAAGCCACTGCCAAACAGTTAAATTACAGTTTTATTTGACCAATGAACTTGTCTCCAAAAACATATCATCCATTGCTGTGGTTTTCGGGACATCTAAATAATTTAGCCAGTTTTAAGTCTCCTAAAAGGGTGAAGATGTGGTTTTGATGTCACATCTGAGAGTGAGAAAAAACTTTGTCTTTAGGAAAAAATCCGCATCTCGCTTTAGATGTGAACGCTGAACTGATTCCATGCGCATTCATCCATCCAGACTTGAAGGATTTCCATATTCAATTTGATTTAATGTGTTTATTAAATCAAAAGAAATGTAAAAATAATTAGACGTATGCATCAATCAAATGACTACTAAGATTTAAATGTATATCTATATATTTATATTGAATTTACTTTTATTTGGTATATCATGATCATTGGAAAAAAGCGCTCGACGCGCACAATGTGTGCATGGAGGGGTGATGCCTGGAGAGCGAGGCATCACAGGATAAACTCCCCACTGCAGGGCGCAGCAGCTGTAGAACAGAACAGCTCTGGCATGAGACGCTTCCCGCAGCTTACAAAGGACACCTATAATTTCCAATCCCAAGATTTCCTTGAAATATACCGGAATCCCTCCATCATCTGCGAATCCAATACAATGTAGGCTGGTTGAGAGGGAACAAATGACGCATCTCCAAGTCTGGAGATATTTGAGAATGCATCGACACATGGATGTTGTTCTTTTAATTATTATTACTGTTATAAAGCAGTTATTGAGCTGCGAATGGGATTTGGATATGCGCGCTAAAAGTGTGGAGAAGTGAGTTTTGGGGGCCCCAGGATGGACACTGCGGAGGTAATTCTCTCCGTGTTGGTAGTTGTGATCATTATAGTGTCGCTGCTTTCCAACATCCTGGTGCTGATCTGCTTTCTCTACAACCCGGAGATCCGCAGGCAGGTACCCGGACTGTTCAATCTTAATCTAACCTTCTGCAACCTGTTGCTGACTGTGGCGAACATGCCGCTCACTCTGGTGGGACTCGTCAGCCGGGCTCAGCCGGGGGGACACGGCTTCTGTCAGATCGCGGGGTTCCTGGAGACCTTCCTGTCCACCAACTCCATGCTGAGCATGGCCGCTCTGAGCATTGACAGGTGGATCGCGGTGGTTTTCCCCCTGAGGTACCATTCCAAGATGCGCCACAAGGACGCAGCTTTAGTGCTCGGTTACACGTGGGCGCACTCCATGTCCTTTTCCACGGTGGCCGCCTGCCTGTCCTGGGTGGGCTACCATCGGCTTTACGCGTCCTGCACCTTGTCCAACTCGAGATCTAACAACAGGACCCAGTTTATTGTCTTTACCGTGTTTTTCCACTCCTTCACCTTCCTTCTGTCCTTTATAGTTTTATGTTTCACATACCTCAAAGTTCTTAAAGTGGCTCGGTTTCACTGCAAGAGGATCGATATAATAACCATGCAAACTTTGGTGCTGCTTGTGGACATACACCCCAGGTGAGCTCCTGTCTTCCTTTGTAGTAATGAGCTGGTTAGAGTTTGTTGGTGTGGAGATGCATGTTCAAAGTGTTTAAATCTGCTTAGATTGTTTTTAAGGGTAGGCATCTGTCTAATTCTACAAAACAAACAAACAAAAACAAAAAACAAAAAAGCAGTTATATGTTGATGCACTATATAGACTGTATAGATCCCATGCACCTTTTTCTTCCTTTGGCACATTCTTCTTCTCCATTGACTTTTTGAGCCTATGTAACGGGTACATTTCTTCACATTAGATCAATAAAGCCAATCAATCAACCTAAGTCATGTAGGGGACTACTGTACCAATGGGAAAGAATGTTCTCTGATCAAATGAGTCAAGAGCACAAATAATTGTTTGGTGTAAGCCCATTAATGATATTTGCATAGAGAGAAAAACCAAAAACACCCTAAATACCACTGGAATTAATTCCTACAGGATTTAGCCACATTTTATGCTAAAACAAAACAAAGAAACATTTTACCACCTATTGGGGATTTTGAAACAAGATGGGGGTTCGCCTTGTAGCCTGACAGTTATCATAAACATAAAGCCAGAGTTGGGCTGAATAAAACATAAAAACATAAACTACATTGGAATGATAAAAGCTTGTGTGTTTGCAAGAATGGTCTAATCAAAGTGTAGATCTAAGTGTAAAGATGTGTGGATCTGTGAGAAGACTTCGCAGCTTAGAGACTCTCATTCCAGTCTGACTAAAGTGGAGCTGCTGAGCTGAGAAGAATTGAGAATATTGTCATTCTCTTAATGTTAAATGTTAATAAAGATATATCTGCTACTCTAGCTGCAGTGAAAAGTGCTTCTACAATATGTTTGATCAGGGAAGCTAAAAGCAAATGCAGGCTGCACTTTTCAGAGTTTTATTTGGAAAAGCAAAAAAAAAAAAACATTAAGCATTTAAAGCAGTTTGGTTTCACAATCCATTCAAATGCAAAGAAAGCATCAAAGCTTCACAAATTATTCCACTAAAAATGTCACCTTGTTTTGAATAAGCAGCTTAACTCATGTTGAGTCCTGATGTGTAATGTCCTTATGATACAGAAATTCAGAATCCCCTCCTACACACACTTAGCTAAGAATCTGCCCCACTGACAATAAACCAGCTGTCTTTCTTTCCAGTGTCCGTCAGCGTTGCCTTGAAGAGCAGAGGAGGCGGCGACAGAGAGCAACCAGGAAGATCAGCACCTTCATCGGCACCTTCATGCTTTGCTTTGCTCCCTATGTGATCACGAGGTGAGTGCTGTAACACAAACTAAACCTGACAGAGTTTTTTTGGTTACCACCCTCTTACACACCAGCTCTTCCACTTCCTGCTTGTTTCCTCTCCATATGAGCTGAGTTTGGAAGATGAGAGTGGCTGACCTTGTGATAAGTAATATGCCTCTGTCCGGCTGTTGTTGCTGCTGCATTGGCACTTTCCTCCTCAAGTTCGTCCGGTGCATCCCCACTTTGATGAATTTACTGGCATCAATCACTACTTCAAGAGGGGATGCCAAAGAAGGCCATAGGAGAGAGAAAGGAGGATCTAAATGATAGGTGAAAGGATGGGTGTCAAAAAGATACATTCGTATAATGGGAAGAACATTTTTATTTATTTCTTCTTTGAATAATTTAATGCGTAAAAAAAAAAAAAAGATATCAAGATAAAGACCAAATAAGTCAGTTAAGCCTCTGTGCCCAGTGAATAAACATTTCCTGTGGTTAGGTCTTGTCTGGAACATGACCAAATATAATTTATCTGTGGTTTTGTGTCTGGAAATAAATTTGATTTGTCTCCAAAGGTTGACTGTAATTTTCTGAAGGACAAACGGGAGTCATAGGGTCTGTTTTACAAGTGACCTCTTAGGACATTTAGATTCCTCAAAGATCCTTGTCAAAATACCAGTACCAAGGCAAACCAACATTTAAATGTAACAGAACTGCTAACATCTTACTCCATATTGTTGCTATGATTAAATGGAAATGCAGTTTACTAAGAGGCCATAGAGAGTGCTGGGATGACTGGAGTTATCTTCTTCAATATAGAGTCTAATGCTTGAGGGGATGGCCCCTATTCCACCTATTGCTCTGCAGTGCTTGTCAACTGTCTAAATAGAAGCTGCTATAATTTTCTCCTGCCAAAATGGACTGTTTTTTATGTATTTTATTTCAAACATATGCTGAATCAGCATATCGCCAAAGAAAAAGTCTCAGATAACATGTTATAAACAAATTTATCCTTATGCTTACCCTGTACACCACTGCAAAACTAACAATGACCAGACCAGGGGCTCATAATTTGATCACAGAGCAGTGCAGGGGCGATCCTAGCCCATTTGGGGCCCCGGGCAAACTACACCTTTAGCGTCCAATCCACCTTGCATCAGTTAACATACCAAAAAATTCTGAAACGGTTTACAGTACAGTACCTATTTCCTGTAAGGGTATTGTTACTTTAGGAAATTATCACTTATCTACAAGTAAAAATTATTTTGCATTACGACTACTCTTTAAAGTGCAATTTATCCCAAAAATTATTCATCACTGACTTGCATCTTTTTGTCTGTGTTCTTTGCCACTAATTAATATAATCAAAGAAGCATTATTTAATAGATTTTAATAAATTACACATCTTGCTAGTGTTTTCAGTATATTAAGGGGTCTCTTGGTATCAAATGGCTGTTCTTACATTTCCACCTAGAATTAGACCAACTTGTTGCCTTTCCCTGTTTATCACCCTTCTTCCCTTCTGTCTCTCCTTCTGCATCCTCACACCTGAACGACATGAGCTTTGTTAGATATAGCAGTCTTAATGCATTTTGGTCAGTAACAGAATTATGACATCAAACAGCCTTAGAAGACTTAAGCATACATTATGAAAGTGCAGTAGGGTCCCACCTGGAAATGATTTACACATTTCAGACACTTTTTTAGGTTTACATGTTTTAGTTAACATATATCATCACCCTTCCACAGAAAAACAACGTATAAAAACATTACATTTCTATTCAGATTATATTTTTAATGGATTGGACAATGCATCTATTTAGACTTATCCAATATATCACAACAGCACTGTAGTGTTATATCAGAATTAGGTTTAGCACATTTTGATTTCTAAAAAAAGAGCACACTTGACTCTACTTTGACATAATACTCAAAGTTTACTAAAAGATAAAATCTAATTTAAAAAATATAATTAAAATCTCCTCACTGTCATTATAAAGAACAAAATGAGATCTCTCTCTCTATAGTCTTCTCAGAAGTTAATAAACATGCTTTATTGTACCTAAAATAATATCTTTAACAAGTGTCAATGGTTCAAAAAAAGGAAATTAAAAAGAAGAATCTGAAATCAAATAATTATTCACTGCTCCAAAAATAAAGGCACAATATACAGCAGCAGTCCACCTGGACAGATGGAGGAGGGTGTAAGAGGGCAACAACCCAGCAGCAGGACCGCTACCTCTGCCTTTGTGCAAGGAGGAACAGGAGAAGCATTGCGAGAGCGCTGCAAAATGACCTCCGGCTGGCCACAAACGTGCATGTGTCTCCACATACTGTTAGAAAACAAATCCATGATAATGGTTTGAGGGCTTGATGTCCACAGATGGGGCTTGTGATCACAGCTAAACACCGTGCAGGACGCTTGGCATTTTCCAGAGAACACTAGGATCACCACTTTTGGCATGTGCTCTTCTCACATAAAATTTGGGTTTCGCTGAGAACATGTGACAGTCTTGAGACACTGTGGAGACTGATCTGCTGCCTGCAACATCCTTCAGCATGACCGGTTAGGGAGTGGGTCAGTAATGGTGTGAGGTGGCATTTCTTTGGAGGACCAATCAGCCCTCCATATGCTCACTATAGCCAGCATGACTGCCATAAGGTACCAAGAAGAGATCCTCAGACCCCTTGTAAGACTATATGCTGGTGTGGTTGACCCTAGGTTCCTCCTAATGCAGGACAATACTAGACCTCATGTAGCTGGAGTGTGTCAGCAGTTCCTGCGAGATCAAGGCATTGAAGCTAAGAACTGGCCCGCCCTTTCGCAAGATCTGAATTCCGATTGAGCATATCTGGGACATCATGTCTCCATCCATCCACCAACGTCATGTTGGACCAGCGACTGTCCAAGAGTTGCTGGATGCTTTACTTCAGGTCTGGGTGGAGATCCCTCAGGACACCACCTACTCAGCAAAAGCATTCCCATGCATTGTAGGGGGTTCATACAGGGATCTGGAGGCAACACATAATATCGAGCCTCATTTTGACCTGTTTAAAGGACATTACATCCAAGTTAACTTTGTTTGCGACTCCAAATCCAATCCAATGTCATGAATTCAGAAATAGGATGTTCCATTTAATTATTCCCTTTTTTTGAGCAGTGCATAAATTATGCTTTTCTTCTATCAGTATTTCTCTTTTGAACTCCTGATAACTTCCTTTTATACGAGTCCATCTTAAGCGCCATGTAAACACTCGCTCCAGCTCAAACAGTTGCAAGCGCTCGAAGGAGTGAACGTGGAACATCAGGAGGGAGGCACTATTTGGCAAAGGCGCCTTGGGCTGTTACTCATGTTGCCCACATCAGACACCGCCACTGGGTGGAAGGGCTGGTGTCCTGGACTGATGAATCATATTTTGAATGGCATTACGTTTACCTGTGGATCACAAGGCACCAGGATGCACTGTGGAATGTATGCAACAGGCAGCTTTAGAAAACTGGTCTACTGAGAAACCTGAAAAATGTGCCCTTGTTGCTTACTATGACTTGTACAATTTTACCATTGTTGTACAAACTTTCATAGAAGCATAGCAGCATGTTTAGGAAATGCTGGGAGAGTTCTCGCAAAGCAATCTGAGATAAATCTGCTCGTCTAGTGACCATGGATGATCACTACTTTTTAAGGTGCAAATTTGAAAATTTCAAGTCCACTACTTTTTCATCCACAAGATGTTCAGATACATTTAAAATGGCACAACTTATATAAATATTGCCCTATATAGTTATTAGGGCAGATGTTCTGACACAGCCTAGCTGGAATTTGGCAACGGGTGTAATGGCGGGCCACTATTATATTGGAAAAAAGACTTAAATGTAAGTTCAGCTGTTTTGCTGCATCTTCATCACACCGATACAAAATCAAAATTTAGGGACAACAAAAAAGACGTTAATTCCAAAAAGAAAATGTGCACTTGGAAATTGTTTTATTTGAATGTTTACATATATTTTTGATAAATGGTCAAATGTTTGATTTCAACCTGCACCACAGAGCTACAGCCGACCCACATGGGGCATCAGTGTCTAGCCAAAGCAATGGCCTCTTTCCATTTCCATTGGAGGGCATCCCAATTCCATTCATTTTCCCCCACTTTCAATCAAGATGCCCTCCACCGCTGCAAGTATGACTTCATTGGGAGTGACACTCCATAGTAAAGGGGTAGTGCATGAAGGGGGGGCTTATAGAATATTCTGGAATAATCATCCAACTGGGAGCAGATGTGCAGAGAATAGACTAGAAGGGAAATAAAGGGAAAGGGAGAATGGCAGCAGGGAGTGATGGAGAGCAAACTTGAAAATACAACAGGAGTGAATGTTACTAGAATAAACTGACACAATACAAACAGGAACAGAGTCTAAAGGGGCTGTCACACCTTGACGATTTAGCCAGCGTATGCCAACGTACAAAAAATCTGGCAAAAATGCTGCCATAGGTGGATAACTTATGGGTACTGTAGGAGACATAAATGGAAATGTGGTGTATGGTGTGCCTGGGTATGAATGTATGTTGTGGAGATGGAGACACAAATAGAGGTGGGTTTGTGCACCAAGGAAGTTTAGAACAGAATTTAACTGTGTTGTCATTCCACTGTCACAAGTACAGAGCAACAAAATGAATTCTCTGCATTTAACCTATGCCCTTGGGGAGCAGTGGGCTGCCATTGTGCAGTGCCCGGAGAGCAGTGTGGAGTTAAGGGTCTTGCTCAGGGACCCAGAGTGGCAGTCTGTGGGAGTGGGGGATCAAACTAACAACCTCAGGATTTGAAGCCCTATGCCCTGACCACTAGGCCGCTACTCCCCCATGGATGTGTACATAATTTTCTTTGACCGCTTCAACTCACTATGCTTCGTTTCACTTTTTTTTTTTTTTTCAGTATTCATTCGTTTCCTATATTAATCTACTGATCTGACGTCATTGGCTTATTCATCCCTGCTGCGCTGTGCTGGTGCTAATTAATAAACCAAACAA